TACACCATGTACCTCTGAACTGTAGTGGAGTAGAAGTACACCATGTACCTCTGAACTGTAGAGGAGTAGAAGTACACCATGTACCTCTGAACTGTAGAGGAGTAGAAGTACACCATGTACCTCTGAACTGTAGAGGAGTAGAAGTACACCATGTACCTCTGAACTGTAGAGGAGTAGAAGTACACCATGTACCTCTGAGCTGTAGTGGAGGAAAAGTACACCATGTACCTCTGAACTGTAGAGGAGTAGAAGTACACCATGTACCTCTGAACTGTAGAGGAGTAGAAGTACACCATGTACCTCTGAACTGTAGAGGAGTAGAAGTACACCATGTACCTCTGAGCTGTAGAGGAGTAGAAGTACACCATGTACCTCTGAACTGTAGAGGAGTAGAAGTACACCATGTACCTCTGAACTGTAGAGGAGTAGAAGTACACCATGTACCTCTGAGCTGTAGTGGAGGAAAAGTACACCATGTACCTCTGAACTGTAGAGGAGAAGAAGAACAAAGTAGCAAAACATTGAAGTATCTCAAAACTGTACCCACGTATAGTACTTGTTGAGTTGATGAACTTAGTTACTTTACACCACTGGCTATACAGATAGAAAGACTAAGCCTTGCACAGAGGCATGAAAATACATTTTCAAAATGCTCAACAGTGCTGCCAAAATGATAAACTGACTGCTACACAATTCAAATAAATGCTTATATATTTCTATTAGATGTGACTCTTTAACATTTCTGTTATTATTAACTGCTGCTTTAGTTGTTCTGACTGCTAACATCCTGTTATTCCTCATTTTAAAGCCGATATTCTGTGGGGTCGGATCCTTGTCACCTTTTTCATACCTGATGAGTTTGCATCCCTGTGAGTAGGCAATCCCCACAGGACAGTGCTGGAATTGGGCCGGTACTCACCGGTACGCAGTACCGGCACTTCTGGTTCTGACCCATGGAGTACCGGCACTTCTTGCTCAGTACCGGCATGCTGGCGGTACTCCGGTACTCATGCACCGTGCCAGTACTCAACACTCTCCCGCCGTTCTTATTATACATCCATATATATATATACAGCCGCCCGGTACTCAGTAGATGCGTCATGAGGTGCCGAACGGACATTCTCATCGCTCTAACCGCTGGAGTTTCACAGCGGCTGTCAGCTGTTTACTCCTGTCATTCAAACAGAACGTGCTGGAGAGGGGGCGGGGCTTATCTTCTCCATGTAAATACTGTGGTGGAAACGACTATGTCAAAATTAACCTATTTGACCGTGATTTAATAGTAATACACGTTTCAAAATAATAATAATAATAATAATGCCGAAGTAACAACATACTGAAAACTGTTAGTAAAACCATGTTTTAATGCTTTACAATTTACATACCTAGATGCACGTGTGTTGTGTTTATGCAGTGCAACTCCCACCCAGTGGGTGGCTATGTAGAGTGATAGAACAGAGCAGGCACGCCCCCGAGAGAAGGAAAGCAAGTCACGTCACAAATTAGCATTTCTAAAATGTTAGCGTGGATTAATAAAAGTGCAAAAAGACAGCGGTTGTCGCCGGAAGAAACTTCAAATACAGAGAATGCTGTGCCTGTGTTGGAAATTGTGTCTGATGGGGAGCTTTCTTTGGTTGATCCTCCTGCTCCAAGTTCTAGTGCATTAGCATTAGCACTAGCTCCGCCGCCTCCTCCAGAGCCTCTAACGTTAGCTGCTGCTGGCGCAACTGCCACCACCAACACCGGGCAAAGCGATGCACCTGACTGCTGGACAACGGACCAGGTGCAATATTTTTGCAAGACCAATGCATGGCTCCTTCTTAAAGATAAGAAGCTAGGATGTCGGATATGCAGAGATGTCAAATCTTTGGGAATACACACTGGACAAGGACTGAAACTGTCAACTGAATGGGGTGAGTGTGCAGTGTCTCATTTCGGTGTTGACAAGGGCAAACAACAAGCTAGCCTGAGAAAAAAAATCAAAGAACATAAAGAATCACAAGCCCATGTAAAAGCTGCTGACATCCTTACATCTGCTTCACGTGAAACTATTCAACATCAAGTGCAGTCTATGCATAAATCTGAATTAGACACCACTATCAGAGTTTTTCGAACGGCATATAAAATTGGCAAACATAGCCGGCCATTCACAGACATGCCAATTGATTTGAATGTACAGAAACTGAATGGGCTGAACGTGGGCAGGGTTTTGCACTCCAATAAAACCTGTGGCGAAATCATCGACCACATAGCTCATGAGCTGAAGAAAAAAATGGCAAAAGACATTACAGAAAACCAAAGAAAACTCTGTGTTTTGGTCGATGAATCTACCACTATTAGTGGTAAAACGGTGCTTGTTGTGTGTCTACGCTCAGCATTAGCTGATGCTGAGCCCGAAACGTTTTTTTGGGAGCTGATCGAGTTGGATGGAACAACGGCTGATGACATCACAAAGGCGTTAATGGAGTGTCTTGGAAGAGATTTTAACGAGGACTTTTTAGGTCAGTGTTTCGTTTCTTTTGCATGTGATGGGGCTTCAGTCATGCTAGGGAAGAGAACAGGCGTTGCTACCCAGTTGTGTAGTAAATTCCCAAGCCTGTTTGTGTGGCATCGTCTAGAGCTGGCAGTTGGGGATGTGGTCAAGGAGGTCTCAGGGCTCAATCATTTCCAGATCTTTTTTGACAAACTCTATTCCTTGTTCCATGCCTCCCCCAAAAATCAGAGGCAGTTAGCGCAGTGTGCGCAAGCAGTCGGACAGCGTCTCCTGGTGATAGGGCGTGTTTTGTCCATCCGCTGGGTGGCTTCAAGTGAAAGGAGCGTCAGAGCAGTCTGGGAAAACTACCGAGTGCTTCATGATCACTTCACAAATGCTGCAAACGACACGAGCAGGGATTCCAGAGACAGAGCAAAGTACAAGGGCCTGGATGATGTGCTCACATCTGCAACGTTTGTCAGCAATCTGGGACTGATGTACGATGCGCTCACAGAGCTCAGCGACCTCTCTCGGCAACTCCAAAAAAGAGATATGACACTGCCTACAGCAGATAGGTTCTTAACTCGAGAAATACGAGTTTTTGAATCCATGATCACCATGCCTGGCCCACACATGACTACAGTTCATACAGCTCTAGCTGAGAAGTCCTTCAAGGGTGTTGCCCTGCGTGAGAATGGCAGGCTTGTACAGATTCATGCAGGTCAGTTTTTCCGCAGTATGGTAGAGAATCTGAGACACAGAATGACTTCCACAACCTCCTCTCATGTCAGCACAAGAGAAATCCCATTACATGGCCGGGAGGCCCGGGACAATCAGCTAATCCAGGACATGAAAGTTATCCATCCTGGAAGTTGGCCTGAAGAGGAGTTAGACGTACAGTATGGGGACGTAGAGGTGCTACGTTTGTGCGAAGTGCTGAAAGTGGACAGAAGAGAGACTGTTCAGGGCTTTCGCGAATACAAGGAAACCAGGGCATCCCGTACACCTGCTGCCATGGAGCCTCTACTGAAAGCAGTCCGAACCATCGCTGTCTCCACTAGTGAGTGTGAGCGGGCATTCAGCTGCATGAACGATATCCTTACTGCAAAAAGGAATGCTCTCTCTGTCAGCCGACTGTCCAGCCTGGTTTTCATTAAATGTAATGGACCATCACTAGGACAGTTCAATCCGGAACAGTATGTGAGGTCCTGGCTGGCAAAGGGAAGGAGAAGTGCTGATGAAAGAGCCTGTCCAGCTCCAGCCCCTGATACTGATGTCCCCAAGGCCTTCTGGAGCCTTTTCTAACAATGTGAAGTATATTGCAAAGCAGCTCACCCAGTGAGAAGACTTTTGGCATAATGTGCCGATTTGTACAGATCCTGGAGATAGAAGGACTTCAGACCAACCAGGGAGTTATCTGATCAGCTTGGTGTTCAATGTAACTCTTTACCATGGCTCAGACTTTGTTACTTGCAGTTACAGTTTCTCATTTTAGATTGTGCACATTTTGCATTTGTTTTTACATGTTCTTTGTTCATGCTCTTTATCATTTTTCTGAGTTGGAAAGTTAGATTGCATCATAGTTTACTTTATACATATTTGTATTCTTCAGTGGTGAAGTATATTGCAAAGCAGCTCAGCCATGTGAGAAGACTTTTGGCACTTTTTCGTTTTTCGTTTTCTGAGTTGGAAAGTTAGATTGCATTCAAAATGTACAGAAATACTTAATTTTGTTAAAGCTTTTTATAAAAAATGCTTCTGACCAGAGCTTTGTTTCCTTGTCATTAATGTTGAACACCACCAGAGGGGCTCTCACCTGAAAGGTCTCTGCTTCATGTGTCTTCAGCAGAAGATCTAGACTTTGATTGCTATATTTTCAGTTAATATTGACCTTACTGAGCTTTAGCCATATCCGCTGCCTATCATAAAAAATGTTAAGTACAGTGAACCTTTCTAAAATATACAGTAGTAAAGAGACAAACCCACCAGCATTATAGTAGCCAAATTCTTGTTTGTGGGCTGTATATATAAGACTGTATATTGACTTGAAAAAGTTGCTGATTTTAGAGTACTGGCACCTTTTTCATTCCAATTCAAGCACTGCCACAGGAGCAATTTGGGGCGAAGCGTCTCAGGGACACAACGACATGCTGACTGCAGTGGGGTTTGAACCTGTGCTCCCTGATCCAAACACCAAGGCTCTGGTCCACTGCGCACCGCACTCCACTGCGCCACAAAATGACTTCAAAAATAAATTGGGATACTATGAATTTTTTGAATGTATTATGACTTTTAAAAATATATATATTACATACTATAAAATGACTATTTTTCTCGCATTTCATCCTTTATTACGACAATATTATTTTATTTGTAGTATGACTTTTTCCTATTTCTATCCTGTTCCGGTAAATGGTGAAAACGTTTAGAGATCCTCCTTCACAAAGCTGAAGACTCTTAACTTCAGCCGTACAAAATACAAAAGAGACACTTTCACATTTCATTCACAAATGAGTAGAAAAACATCTTAAAGTTCAAACCAAGTAAAGTTTAATGTCTACAGAAAACAAACTGGTTTCAGTCGACGAGACAAACCATCGAAATCATTTCTGTTCTCATTTCTACCTGAAAAAATTACAAAAGCAGAAAATAGAAATGACACGTCGTACATCCCGTGAAAAAACCCTAAAAGATGCACTTCATATCCCCCCCCCCCCCTCCTAGATAATGAATGTCAGTCTGCCTGCACTGTACTTTCAGGCCAGCAGGGGGCAGTCTGCACTCAGTTCATGCTACAACCCAACATGGCGAAGGGGCACAATCATTTAATCTGTATTATCTTTGCTTCACATGCAAAACTACTTTAATACACTACGTCTTCAAAAACCTTCATCAATACACATGAATTCATCAACTCTGCAGGTACGGACGCTTTAGATCAATATGAGCCCTGCACTGATTGGTTCATTTTTTGTTGTATTTTAACATGTGTGAGCAAATCTGAAGTTAACCATTCATTGTTAAGAAAATCAGATTTCTATATTATTGTTTAAAAGACACAAAAACCCAACGTAAATTACACAATGTAAGAGAAGCTTTTAAGATACAGCTTTAGAAATACAAATGGAGTATCATATAATCACTTCAACTCTCTTAAAGTTGTAAAAACCACGTCTGATTTACATAATTCATACATTTTCCCTCCCGTTAACTCAACGTTTCTGATGCTTAACGGCTGGTGGGGAATGTTCAACAAAACATGGAGTGCTTGGGTTTTAAATCGGTTTAAATGTCATTTTCAGTACTTTAATAATCGACTCGTATCTGGACTGGAAACGCAGGAAAGGACAGGCTTTGCAAATCATTTCCGGGTGCATTTTTTGGACCATTTTAACAGCGATTAGACTTTTTTTAAAGTTTGAAATAAATGGTGTGTTTGTGGCCATCAGCGATACCTCTACTTTAACCAAGTTGGATGAAGGAGATGTTTTAGGCGACGTAACGAGGGGGAAAACACCAAACAGTCGTTCATTTGCTGAAATTAGTGATGCAAAATGCTTCAAAATAAAAAACTTTAAGGGTCTTTTTTAAGTACTTTGGAGTCAAAATGTGTTTTAAATCAACTTTCATAGCTTTTTTTGAAAGTTTTCACAAATTGTACGATAAATTGTGACAAACTCCAAAAACAAATGAAAAAACTGCAAGTGGCAGAAAAGGCAGAAAAAGGGGCGAAATCACACAAGAAAAACCGACATAATCCGGTTGTGATCTGAAGATAACGGACCTTACAGTTACAGCGCATTGAAATGTGACTTTATACAACCAAAGAAAACAGCAAACTTAACATAAACACTTTGTAAATAATAAAATGGATATTAGACAACACTTCGCTGGTAGACTGTGACTCTGAAGGTGTGCGAGGGCTGACATATACTCAATGTGCAAAAAGAAATGTATTATTAACGAGCGAAGCTGAGTGAGACCTAAAAGGCAACGAGAGAGAAATCTGCAAAACAAGGAAAGTATTCAGATTACTGAAGTAAAAGTACTCCTACATGAATGTCAGAATACTCCACTACAAGTACAACACCTGGGTTTTAAATCACACTGAAGTAATATGTGATGTGTTATTAAATATATCACGATATTTGGTAATTATTCCTGTTTTTTGACCTCTAAGAGTTTCATCTTTAGCGCTGCTTTATGTTAAAGGATTTCTCTGGAGTACAACGTAGCATTAGGTAGAAATACTCAGGTAGAATAGACTCTTAGTGATACTTCAGTAGAAGTACTCGTACATTAATGTCAGAATACTCCACGACAAGTACGATACCTGGATTTTAAATCACACTGAAGTAAATGTTCTGATTCTGCCGAAAATATTGGTAATTATTAGTAGTTTTTTGACCTCTAAGAGTTCCTCCACTGGTTTGCACTTTAGAGATGCTTTGTGTTAAAGGTTTCTCTGGAGTATAACGCAGCATTCAGTAGAAATACTCAGGTACAGACTCTTAACGATACTTCAGTAAAAGTATTGAGTTGTTATTTCCGAGCTTAAATCAGAGA